AAGGAGTTTTGTTAGATAATGCCAATGCTACCGTGTTGATATCGTCATAGTTGTGGTCTAGTCACCTTTAAAATCGACCATTATCATAATTTCTTGGTGACATGCACACATTAAGAAGAAATCGTGGTTTTAAATAACAATAGAACAATGTTTTTATTAATGTGACATGAACCAGCTTGTTTGTCCCTTGGATTAAGCTTCCGCATTCAATGCTGCCCACTAATAAGATTCATTTAGATATTAATCTACAATTAATTTTAATAAAAAATGTACATTTTAATTATATTTACCGATGATGCGACGGACAATAGATGCAACTGTCACTTTCAATTATAGACCGATCCGAAAACTGTTACGAACCGGATCGTTTATAGAAACGATATTTTAAAAAATTGGATCACGGATTCGATCCATGATTGTTAAAAATAGATAGGGATTGCATTTTGGGAACCGCTGTAAGTCTGGTCCGACAAAAGAGGCGCTGCTATATCGGTATGTTTTGTTAGATATGTAAAGCCTTATAATTTACTTATAATTTACCTTTTAAGTTTTTTTGAGTAAAAAAATGTTTGTGCTTTATACCGTCACCTAAGAAACTAGTTTTCCACTAATGCAATTTATTTTTAAGGATAAAGAATGCGTTTTATGACAAGATGGTTAATTGTATAGCATCACTATGGTGTCAACTATTTAAAGAATTAGGTTACAATTACCTTAAATGAATAACTTCTTATAGTTAATTACGTTTTATTAGTATTAAATGCTAATCTTATCGTTACTTGACGGTACGGTGCACAGTTTTTTTCTGTGCAAAATTAGGTTATGTTAACGACTCTAACCTTAAAATCATAATGAAGTAAACAAATAAATTTAATTTTTTTTTAATGTTAAAAGTATATTTTGTATACACGATCAACAAAAATAGTTATAATAATATAACTCTTTTTGTTGTTATAAAATATGAATTTTGAAATTAAATCAACATAAAAAGCCATCAATATGTCTACCGTCGTCTTTAGTAAATATAAATACTGTATTTTACTCTATATCCCCTATAGAGGCAACAGCCTTACAAGTCTACATAAGATATTTAGATATAATCCGTATCAGGTCACGTATTACCTCTTGACTTATCAAATCGTTGATTTTTTAATATAGTAGATTTTTGCAATAATTAATTGACTAAATATACAACTATGTTGAACATGGATCAGATCAAACCCGGAACTTTTGGTTACAAAATTAACCACTGCGCCACTGACGATATTACCACCGTAGCTAAATAGTTTTTAAATTTGTAATTGATGAAATTAGTGAACTTAAAATACGAATCTGAATCAATGCATCTTCAAATTAAGTGTGACGAAGCGTATTTCTTACTTATATAAATGCGAAAGCTTAGATGTATGGATGAATTTTTTACAACGTCTCTTCAAAATTGCCCAACGGATCTCCTCGAAATTTGGCATAGGTAGATGAAGAACATATAAACACACATAGTCGTGTGTTTTAATGAACAGTGTCATAATTAGATATCTTTATATTATTTATTATATGAGATTTAAAGCCTTGTTTAAGGTGTGGTCGCAATTAGTTCAAACTCTACAATTAACAATGTTAAAATCCGTACGGAAAGTTCGTGATTTTATCATGATAAATTAAGTCATATTTTTTTGTAACATATAATTAAGGAAGTATATTAATATACAGTGTTATAATAAACGGTCAAGTGTACGTAGCACTTAACGAGTGACCTTTTTAACGACTTGTTAATGATCGTTTTGTTTTAATTAGAATTTTTACAAAACGTTCAATCATGGGAGATATAATCTAATGTCAAGCTCTGGTTTTAATGTATATAGTACATGGTAAGCCATAAAAAATGAATATGGAATAATAGGTTAAGTACACATTTTTAGCAACGAAAACAAAACATAATGGTGAGGTGAGTATGCTTTCAGACATTTTAAACTAGCTCGTTCTAGAATTTTTTTTAAATGATAAACTGTCTAATTTAATGACTGTAAAGTATCATATCGATAGCTTAATTTGACTCACACTCTATTTATCTACTTACTGTTACTGCTGACCTCTCGTTGCAAGGCGATAGACGATCCGCTGTATTTGTACATAATCTGTGAAAATAATTGAGTTTTGGTTAAAGCGGTTGATATCTGTTGTGAACACGTCCAACTAGAGCTATCGCCTGAATATGGTCGCCACAGTGACCACAACTTAATCTGTGCCTTGATTGTTACCTAGATGTTAATGACAGCTTATTACTAATTAGTAATTGGACGATATTCGCGGCTTATTTTCTTTTTTCTTTAAATGGATATGCATTTGTTTTAAACACGGTAAAAAATCACATTCCATTCCATAATTGATGTTTCATTTGAATTATTCGTTTTTTTTCACATATTACATAGTTTTTTATAGTACTGTGTTTGAATAAACTACTTAGACTCGATGTAGTAATGAAAACAACTGCGATCGGTTACTTGAAATTGATACATTTGAAAAACGGCAGGATAATAAGTGACAAAGGCGATATATGCATTTGCTGACCTACAGGCGTCAAAGGAAAGAATGTACAGAAAAGAAATTCCAAGTACATTCCCAAATCACATTCCCAACCTTGCCTTATTACAAGAGCTTGGAAGAGGAAGGGTAATAAAGTTAGCTTACATACAAACAAATAGTAATTTGTCTATAAGTTTTGTCGTTCATTGGTATGCTATAGGATTCCACATTGCAATGTCTAAACAACAAAGGCGAAGCATCATTTGGAAAGTAAACACGCACGTATGCAGTAAATCTGTCATCACAGCGGAGCGCAGCTCGGCGCGGCTCGGCGCGGAGCAGCGCACTCTGTACACGTTGATTTACGACAAACGTGCAATCCACATTGCAACTTTTTAAAAGAAATTGAAAATTCGTACAACCATAATATGGAATTTACGAAATAAAGCTTATCTTTCTTACTATTATAAAAAACCTAAACTTTATACGTCTGTTGACTTCTTTCATTTAATTTGATGATTTACAGAGTTTCTAGGTGAACTCTGAATCTACGGAAGACTGGATTTGATGTTTGATGATGAGAAATAAGGCTTAATGGTGACAAAAAGTTAAAGAAACCATAAGAACTTAGAGGAGGAACCGAAAGGAAGGTACATATTTGGAAATCCGCGGTGTTCCACTTCAGGAAAAATTGCCTTGTTTGTTACAACTAGACATATTTCGCCTCTACCTAAAATAACTAATTAGATTGCAGTGAGTGCAAACGAAGGTATAATAATAAAAAAAACTAGCCGTGTATCACTAACCAACCTTTTTTTTCGTACAGTTATGTTAATAATCTACGTTGTATTGGTTTTTGTTTCGCGTCTCGTTTTAAATGTTCAAACTTTTAAAGTGGAATACTATCAATTACCCCGACTGTATCAAAATCTCTAATTTCTACATTTTTTCGTCTAATTAGTTTCAGTAGATTTTTCAAATGTGATTAAAAATATTAACTTACTATTGTAATTGTCATATATGTGTAAGATAGGAATGCCTGAGCCACCCACGTGGCCGCTCATAGCTGGCCCTGAACCAGTGGCCCTGACACGATACAACTAAGAAGCGCTAATGGAAGGCATTGTTGCCAGATTATACAATATTTTGCAATTACTAAAACATGAAATAGCTTATAAATTATATTTTTTTTCACTAAAAAATAATAGATGAATAAAAATAATACAAAACATCTAAGACTACTAACAAATTTTCTAAAGTGTTGCATGCAATTGTTTGTCAGGTGTATTCATAAATTATTGATAAAAATTGTTCTTAGAATTACTCTCAATAGTAATATATAATAGTAAAATAGTAAGATTATATTTTTTTGTTTGGATAAACAGATTGCCTATTCTAGGCTCTTCCGTCACGATCTGAGTGATTTATTGATTTATTAAAGCGAAACAAGACATGAATGCTGTATGAATGAGAAGAATTTTAATAAACAATGCGTTAAATCTTTTTAAAATAAGAGACAAATGGTCAGTGTCTATTACTAATTTTGTCCTGATACTTTATGTACTTCCAGTGCTATACCATTGTGATGTAAATTTCTATATCTTACCTTAAATTTGTAATAAATTAAGTAGACCCATAATAAATACAATTTCTTTCTAATTTTCATGATTTCCATATTTTTAATCCTAGTTACGGTTGTTTATCTTTCTCGATATTACGAATATAAATGGGAAAGTCTGGATGGATAGATGTTTGTTAGAGTTTGTAGCCTAAACGGCTGAACGGATTTAGATGAAATTTTGGCATAGATGTAGAGTATAGTCTGGAAGAAACACATAGGTTTCTCACTTTTGTTTTTTTATACCACGCAGAGGGAGTCACGAGCGAAAGCTATTGTTATATATATAAAAGTCATGTTTAATCAAGAATCGACATCAGTTAATTTTGAAATATGATAAAGAGAATTCACAAATTATGCTTACTCCGCGCCCCTCTCGATGGAGTCTGCACTTTGCTTTCGTCGGGAGTTTTATGGAGCAATAAAAGTTTGCCGACTCAAAATGTTGGCAGTCTTTATTCGTTATTACTTTATAGAGCGAGTCGTAGATCAAATTTTCGATGCTACATTCAGCTGACGTAGGGATTTATTGTTCTTCTTTTTAATTTTTCTATTCTATTGACTAATATCAATTAGACATAGTCATGGGTTACCTGAAAGATAATCACCCAATTTTGTAGGGAACATACATAATATTGATTATGCTTGTTTTATACAAATGCAGAATATTGAGGACTGCCTCACTATTTTATAACAAATGGGGGAGATTGTAATAAAACATAAAATTACATCCAGTGTTTTATTTAACATTACTAATGCAGTTGTTATCGATAGTGTTCAGAGCATTTTTTATTAGTAGTATTACATATCAATGAAATATATTACAATTCTTAATTTTTAAATTGAAATTTTGTGTATTATACACATTTTTATAAGCGTAAATTTCCACAGCAGAAACATTTGTAAGAATCCATTACGCTTCGGCTGTAAAGACCTACGGTAAAGCTTAACAATTTAATAACAATTAAATATTATGATAGCTATATATTTTACAAAACAATTTAAAGTTAAACAAACATGGAAAATAATAGTATATATCGAAAGACATATTGAAATGGTTTGATTTTTTTACTTCCTTAATTCAATTTTTGTTATAATATCAAATTGTAATCAGACTATTGCAACAAAATCTGCAACCCAACCTGTTCCACCATTATTCATATTTGTTGTAAATATTATTTTAACGTAATTATCTGAACTTGTATAATCTGCAGGCATTTCCGAACAATAAGTAGATATCGTGTTACCGTTTCTATCTGCAAGTTGAAGGTAATTTTGATCGCATACAACACCAAGATCGAATACCTCAAAATGGACCATCAAGTGAGTTCCATGGGGAGTTTCCAATTCCCACTCACATGTATTTTTCTGACGGTAAACTTCGGGATACAAAGGGCTCATAATTCGCCCTACCACATTGTTTAGCTTGCCACCGCACCCGCGGTCTTTGTCAGTAGCTACATAGTTCAAATCGAATGACACCATTCGGTTGTTTTCTCCGCCGTGATTATGTAAAAGTAAGCTCCTGCCCGTTGAAAAAACTGCAGAGAAACCTATGGCTTCCTTTGAGAATTTAACTAAAAGTGGACTCGTTGTTTTATTTCCATCAAATATATCTAGATATACCTTGTCATTATCATAATCGGGAGAAATAAACATAAAGTAAAGAGCTACTGTGTGACGTTCAGGTGCAGTGATAAGCGTATAGCAATCTTTAGACTCATCTGGATTTGGATATAAAGACTTTATCCTGCCTTGTGAATCGGTATAATTTCTTCCACAGAAACCGGATTTAACAAATTCTATTTCAAATCCTCTGTGACCTCTAAATGCCAAGGGCGCAGTTTTTAAATACATCGAAATTTCTCCGTTAACATATAAGTCAACTGATTTTTTAACTCCACAGAACATCAAACTACTTGGAAAGGTCTGTTCATAAAAACTAGAAACATCAAAAAAGTAACTAACTTGTGGATTCAGGATAAATTCCTTTCCGATTGACATGTTGTAGGGGTAAGGATTATTTGTTATTAATAAATAATCTTTATCACATTTATTTATATCCGTAGAACCTACTTGCAAATCTAAATTCTTTATTGATAGTCGTACTGTACTATACCTTTCTGAGTTTAAACGATAAGAGCAATGCAAGTCACGTAAAATATAGTGAGAATCGTAATTTGGTGATTTTAAAGTTTGAACATTATTTGTAACTGTAAAAACACTTTGTCCACAAAGCAATTCTTTTGTTGACAATACAGCTTCAAAACCTGAACTAGCGATTTCACCATCTGTGGCTAGGCGAATAGACATGTATTCATAAGTTGAATGTATTTGTGGTGGCAGCGTATGACCACAATAAGTACCTATATTTAAACTGTTTGGATTTATTCCGTCCTTGAATTCAACGTAATCACAGTCACACTTGCTGAATCCAAGAGCCGTCTGATTAACATTAAAGCAAGAAGATATGTGGAAAGAAATAAATTCAACATTAACGACATAATCTTGAGGGGCTTTTATGTACCATATACAGTCTAAATAATTTTCATATACAAAACTGTTTCCTATAAGTGGTGATTTTAAGGTATGACTTGATGTAGGGGTTAAATCTATTTGTCCCCCACATCCAACAGATTCTGAGTAACTGAAAATAATTTCAACTTGAAATCCAGTATATGCAACGCTGCTGTCGGTTACAAATTGCAAGAGAACTTCATTACCGCGGCCCTTAATTGTTGTACTCGAGTTTACATGGCCACACATCAATGCAAGACGTTCATTGTTATCTATACTAACTCCATTATAAACAGCAATGTAATCATTATAGCAATCGGGGTTACTCTCTAGATCGATATAATCAAATCTCAACACTACTATTTTATTCACCGGAGCTTCTATAATCCAGGTACAATTTAGATCTCGTTCATATTTGTCAAATTTTATAACATGACTATTATTATTCACTTTACCCCCACAAGTATAAATAGAGTAAGACAATTTAAATCCCTTTCTACTGCTATACCTATCAGTACTTAAAACCATTTGGACTTCGTCAACGTTTTTTAAGGGAGACGGAATTTCGTTTCCACAGTATGCCTGGTAAACATAGTCATACTGACTATGAGCTGACAAAGTAACGTTGTCATATTCGCATAATGGAAACGTACCTTCTATATCAAATGTTAAAAATTTCAATTCAATTCTATTTCCTTTTCCGGTAAATCGATATTCGCATTTCAAGGAAGGCAAGTATCCGTTGTTATATCCCGGACTATATAGTATCTGTTCCTTCTCGGTTGCTACATAGAGACCACCACAGATAGAAGACCACTGAGCTCTAAATCCATCCAGATTTATCTCAGAGTCGGTGCGGAAGACCACTTTCATTTGATTGTAAGTCGAGTTGTACGCCGGTGGTAGTCGCCGACCACAAAGTTTTGCAACTTCAGTATACATGTCGTCCTTCCAATCATAAATAATTACAGCGTCTTTAGTGCAATTTGGTGTATCTTCAATTACAAAACGTTCAATAAACTGAAGAGACACTCTGTTACCAATTTCTGCTTTTATTTCCCAAATGCACTCTTGGTTTTTAATATAACTTTTTGGAAAGTTTGGCGATGAAAATTGGCGTTCATGTTTTGTTAGTATTCCTCCACATTGATTTGAAGCAGTTTTTACATTTAATTTTATTTTAGTGCTATTCGCAGCACTTGAGTGATAATCAACAAACGTGTACCTATAAGTTGTAATTAAAGGATTTTGTGGAATTCTATCTTTACAGTAGTCACCAATTGTTGTTGACAACTGTCCAGTACCTTGGGTTATTTGTATAAATTCATTGGAGCAATCCAATTGAAATTCACCTTCTAATTTAATTTCAATCTTACTATTTGGAGGTGCGACAAGTACCCATCCGCAATCTATCGAGCCGCCATTGTTTCTTGTTAAATTCAAAACATTTATCTTTTCTTCGCTCACGTAGACAACTCCGCCACATGGTTGTAATTTCCATTTAAGATGGAAATTCAAGACTTTGTCCTTATTTCTAACCGCTGTAAGATCCACGGCGTTTGACGGATATCTATAAGTTTCTTCATTATTTTTCCCACAAATAGTTCGAATGATGGTGAGATCTTTCATGATTGTAGATTTTATAATTATACGAGGCTCGGTAAATCTACAACTTTTACTAGTTGATGATACACTAACATTAGCTTGAATGACCATGGTTTTATATTGGAAATTTGAGTTAACTTCTACATCTTCATTATTATAATGCCAAGCACATTCGTAAGAACGTTGGAGATCAGGATCTAATAATTCTCCAGAGTTGCCACTTAAGTCACCTCCACACAAAGCTTCATCATTTGAAGTAAATTGAGCTTTGAATCGGTGAGTTTTTATTCCGGACGGCCTTAACCACACATAGATTCCTAAAGTACTTCCAGATGATTCAAAAACAGTATCCGTCGTAGTATAATTTTTATCAGGTATTTTTTCAATAACAGTTTGGAATTGCACATCGTTGTATATTCCTATGCGATGATTGTTTAAATCGAAGTCTAAGAGTTCTAGGCGTACACGTCTCTTAGAATTAGGAAGTTTAATTTTCCATTGACAAAACCTCAATGTCGATAGTCTGGGGTAGCCAGGCGTAGTTAGAAAACCTTCAGATGTCGTAACAGTTCCACCACATATTGGTCTCCAGGAACTAAACGTTAGCTTAAATCCCCTGCTATCAGAAATTTGATCCCAATCATTCGGCTTACCAATAGAAAATGCGATTGTAACTTGATTTGTAAATGATTCTATAGGTGTCAAATATTCTTCTATGTCGTCGTTACAGAATTCTTTTAAAACAGTAACAGTATTGTTTACGGGAATTGAATTTTCGCTGATTGTTAGTTTTGTAGCACAAGGTTCCACAGAGTCAGGAAGATTTAAATCTTTTAATTGAAGTTTCAAACTAAATACCGAAGGACCAATGATGTTCCATTTACAAATTGTACCATACGGTAATATAGACATATGTGGGTAATTTGGTGACGTCAAAGTACCTTCGCTGGCTACAATGGTACCACCGCAAACATCTACAGAAATATTAGCTTTAAACCCATTTCTGGGTTCTGATAATTGCGTTGAATACTTGATGAACATCATATTGTTACTAGTTTTTATTGTACCAGGCTTCTCACCACAATATCTACCTTTTATTGGAGAAATTCTTGTAGACCCGTCACGAATTTCAACATATTCCGAAGCACAAGAATCCGATTTTTCTAAGTCAAATCTTTCAATAAAGTCGATACGTAAAATTTCACCCGGAGGACCAATGAATACCCAAACACACTCTGTATAAGATGGAGGTACAGAAGGATAATTAGGTGAAGATATGACTTCCCATGGATGATCAAGGTCCAATGAAGATGATACGCCACACACAATATTTAATTCTTCAAAACGTATTTTAAAATTTTTAAAGGCCGGGAGGGAATCTCTTGAAACGTATGTTACGGAACTTATAAATACGGCATTACTAGATGAAGTTATGTCATTCAATTTTTCATGTGCATAGCCACAATATCTACCATCACCTAATAAAGGTGAATCTCTTGTTTCACCATTATGTATTATAACATACGAAGAGCAATCGGAACTTGTAATATTGAAATTTTCAAACACTATTTTTATATTTCGCCCAGGTCGCACTTTCAGCTTCCATTCACATCGCATCATACTTGAAAATACATTTTGCATATCGAACCATGTCGGTTCTATTACTCCTGAATTTAGAAGTTCACCTCCGCACATTGATGCCACCTTCGCTGAAAAGCCTTTTTGTGCTACGGAAGCATCGGTTTTAAAAGAAACCTTTAGATAAGTGGATGCGTTAATTGGAACCTTTATTGCTCCATTTTCACAAATATTTTCTTTTATTGGAGTCCAATGGTCTAAGGAGCTTGAGGAATATATGTTTATTTTATCTGCAAAACAGTTTTGTGTCTCTTCCAAAGACAAATCTTGAAAGGACAACAGTAAATGACGTCCGGGTGTTGACTTAAAAACCCAAACGCAGTGTAAGTCACTGCCGTACGGTAGAGGATAATTAGGTGAGGTAAATGTGACACTACGTCCTGGTGCTAATATTTCTGTATGATTAAATCCACAATTAGGATTTTCACCGGTTACTAATCCTTCATCCTTATCAGCTTGCTCCCAGTATAAATGGAAAAGAGAACCGATATTTGACTCTTCCAAGTGCAATTTAATGTACACCACACCTGAAGTAGTTTTAAGGGATTTAATTTGGTTTGTTATTATTCCACACATCTCTTCTAGAAGTGGTGCGTCTTCATCGTAACCATCATAAAAGGCTAAGTGATTTTGACAAGTTGCTTCCTGGTTATGAATTTCCAACTTGTCAATCCGTAAAGCGATAGTTGAAGGGTTTTTCATTGTTACTCGCCATGTATATTCAGCGCCGCCCTTATATACATTGGGGTACAAAGGTGATGTTATTTCACCTCTTGTCAAACCAATTATATTATTTCCATGCAAAAATCCGTAGTGAATTACGAACCCGCGCCCAGAGTCTTTACTGTCACTGTGAAATTTGATGTAGAGTTTACTCGCAGATGTTGTGTTCGTTGGTAAGACGTTTCCACAGAAGACTCCTATTAGTCTGCCGCCACCATTATCTTCACGAACTTCTAAATAATCTTCGTTGCATCCTTCTGAGTATTCTAAGTTAAGCTCTTCAAACGTAATGTATACTTTATTACCAGGCGATGTGCTTAAAATCCATTCACAATCAGAGTCGTGAGGATATGATTGGGGATAATTTGGCGAGGCGATAGTACCTTCCTCCGATGTTAATATTCCTCCACAAGCAGAAGTTAAAGTGGTATAGTGGGCTGAAAATATTCCTGAAATTTTACCAACGTAACTTCCAAGCTGTATAGTCATTGCACTACCATGACTCACGATCATCGGAGGGACTTTATTTCCACAGTATTCATCGATCAAAGGTGAATCCTCATCATCACCATCTAATATTCTCAAAAATGATGCTGGACATGACTTACTTGTATTTGTAGCATCTATCGTGTATTTGGGAATCGACATGTGCGTTATAGTTAGTTTAATTTTTAAACTGGGTGTAGGAGCTAGTAAAGTCCATGTACAAGTATCATTCGAATCTTGCAAAAATTTATTATTAATTACACCATCACGATCAGCTATGATGCGAGCACCGCATATCATAACAAAGGATGCTTTGAAACCTTTAGCAGACCCATAATCATTTGTAAGAAATTGAAGGCTTAGTTGATTGGTTTTAGATATAATTTCAGATATGTTCGTCTTTGGGCAAATATGATAAGTGTAATTGGCGTCAAAAATATTACTTGTTTCATAAATATTAATCTTGTCACCACAAGAAGGCGAATCTTCATTATCTTCTGAATACAAGTCGAATTCTAGCATATTTAATCGTATTCGGTGGTTCTTAGGGACTATTATAGACCAAACACAATCTAAATTATCATCATAATTTTTTGGATAATTTTTTGAGTAAATTATACCGGTGTGCGCCATCATTTTACCACCACACCCAGATTTAAATGAATCAAAATGCGAATTAAAGTATACGTTCCTAAGAGAAGATTTTTTTATAAATCTTACTAAAAGAAAATTAGAACTTCCTTGGACTTGCACCAAATCTCGATGGCAAATTCGCGTTAGGAGAGGTGCATCGACACTTTGTCCATTGTATACCTCAATCGCATCCTCTGTGCAATTTTTACTATCGTACATGTATAACTCTGTAAATGATATTGTAGCACTTGAGCCTAGAGGAGTTTCTATTATCCATTCGCAGTTTATTTCATTTTCAGCAAGAGCCATTCTCTTATCCAGTGACAAGAAACCGAATCGCTTTTGTATAAGACCACCGCAACCATCTTTAACCCATTCCAGACGGAAACCACTTCTAGTGAAATAACCGCCTGATTTAAATTTCACATTGAGAATATTACTTTGAACATTTATTTGTTTTGGTAATGTAGACCCACAAAGCTTTTCCGTAACAGACGTGCCATCCGTTTCGCTTATTTGTACAAAATCTGAATCACACGTTTCTGCACGTGTGCGAACTACAAAAAAGTCTAACCTCCTCCATGCAAAATTTCGGTTCGTTTTAAATATGTCAAAGTGTGTGAACGTAACGTTAATTTTGTTTCCTCTTGGAACTGTTATAGTCCATAGACAATTGGCGTAGTGAGGATAGTTACTGGGAAAGCCTGGACTCTCAATAACGCCAAAATTACCGGTAACGTTACATTGACAAATTGTATTATAGTTTAGTAGAAAGCCTTTGCTACTTATAAAAAAATCGGATCGAAATTTAATATATGCATAGTTACTAGAAGTTTCAATATTCCTCAAAGCATTAGAAATTTCACAGTGTTTACCTAAACTTACGGCGCTTGTATCTCTACCATCAAATATCTCTACGTAGTCGTCCATACAATGCCGAGTCATCTCCAAACTTAATTCAGTAAAGGAAATGTGGATCCGAGATCCAGCACTTGTGACTATTCTATAAAAACATTCAGCATTTTCGTGGTAATTATCAGGATAATTAGGTGACGAAATAGATCCGTTCGCACTAGTGAGTGTTCCTCCACAACCCGTTATCGTACCGTCCCATTCGATTTTGAATCCGTGACCAGTTAAATAAAAGTCAGAATGGAAATGTAAATACAAACTATTCGCTGCTGATATAATACGTTTTGATTTAAATTTACCGCAGAATTTACCTATTAGTGGAGCATTTTCTGTCGCTCCATTCTTTATTTCTAAATAATCTCCAAGATCACACTTGTCGCGTATGGGACGTTCTAAGTCAAACTGGGATATGTTGAGTTTAATTTGCTGCCCAACAGGCACAGTGATTGTCCAAACGCAATCACGATTAGGCTCGTATACGTTGGGCCATCCGGGGGAGTATATGTAACCACGAGACTTTACTAAGAATGCACCACAGTGTGATCTTTCGTCTACAAAGGAATATGATAAAGAAAAACCACTTTCTCTTATACTATTGTCCGATTCAAATTTTACCATGATTCTATTAGTAGAAGAGGTGAGGACGGGTGGTTTTGTACTACCACAAAAACGACCAAGTAAGTTACGCTGATTATCATCATCTATTTCATATAACTCTACAAAGTCACTGGTACATGTTGGTCGTATTTGATTTTCTAGTCTGAATCTATCCCATGTAAGCTTAATATGCATACCTTCAGGAGCTATTATCATCCAAGTACATGATTGTTCATTTTTGTAAGTCGTTTCTCCATCCGATGGGTGACTTATTACCCCTGTAGTATCTCTATGAATTCCTCCACACTCTGTATCTATTGTTGTATAATTAGCGTAAAACCCGGTACCTGTAATACTCATATCGGACTTAAATCGTATGTACATGTAATTAAATGTTGAAGTTTGAACTGGAGGTAAGAGTTCCGACCCACAAAATCTTCCAAGTAATGTTGAGTTGATATCAGGTCCGTCTCTAACTTCAACATTATCGTATTGACAATTGGAGTAACTGTTATTTTCAACATTAAAGTCTTGGAATGTTAATTGTATTGCCTTACCTGGAGTTGTATTGATAATGTATTCACAAACTTTATTTTCTGGATAACTGAAGGGATACCCTGGTGATTTTATAATACCACTATCTCCGTGTAATTGTTTGTGACAAATAGATTCATAAGTTATTTTGAAACCTTCGGAAGTCATTGTATGGTCAGATTTAAATATAATGAATAACGTGTTAGAAGACGAGGTATATGATTTCGGATGTAATGTACCACAAAATTTACCAACAAAGCGAGAATCACTAGATGGCCCATCATAAATCTTAATATAATCATACTTGCATCTAAATGAATTCTCCAAAGAAAAAGAAACAAAATTAATACGGATTTTTGTGTCTTCACTTGTTTTAATTTTGTATTCACATTTTAAATTACTAATATATTTACCGTTGTAAGTAGGCGACGTTATCTCGCCTCTGTACGTGGTAAAATAACCACCACAACCCGGTATACCTTCAACTGGGGCATAAGCGATTTGAAAACCGAAACCAGAATTGTATGCATCAGAATGAAAATAAATTAAAAGCTCTGAACCAGCTGATTGCAAAGGAGCAGGTTGAGTTGAGTTACAATATTTTTCCAAAAGAGGATCCCTAATATGCCCGCCGTCATATATGGCAATAAAGTCAAAACTACAATTAACATGTGATTCAATATCTAGCGCGAAGAAATGCAGTTGGATTCTTTTCTCAAGAGCTGTGGTTAGATGCCAGTAACAATCTCTATTCGGTGGATATTTACCAGGAGAGCCCGGTGAGCTGATATGTCCGTGAGTACTGGCATCAATTTCGCCACCGCACACTGGGTTTACACTAGACCAATGTAAAGCAAAACCTTCCTTAGCAATACTTAGATCTGACCGAAACCAGAAATATAAAGTATTATGACTAGATATGATATTTCCTCCTTTAGGGAATTCACTACCACAAAATCTTCCGATTAGCTGACTGGCTGAGCTTCTACCATCATGTATTTGTAAAAAGTCATAAAGACAGTCCGGGCTTGATTCTAAATTAAATTTACTAAATGTCACATTTATAACTTTCTCTGGTCTAGTATGAATTACCCAAGCACATCGAGCATTATGATTATAAGTTACATTAGTCAGGGGATATAATATGTTACCTTCTTCGTGATTCAACACACCACCACAAAGAGTTGCATGTGATTCACACAAGTCTCCAGAATATAAAGCGGCACACTCACACCTGAAACCCGAAGGCGAACTTTCGTCCAAGCGGCAGCTACCTCCATTTTGGCAAGGATTACTTTGACATACATTTTCTGTATTTTCACAGTGTACACCATTGAAACCCTTATGGCAAATGCAAGTGTAGCCAGTTCTAAGTGAATGACAGTACCCATGGTCACCACAAGGATTGTCTTCACATTGTAGAGTTACATTACCAGAGTTTGGAACGTAGCATCCACGAACACCGATACCATCTCCATACATTCCATTCGGGCAGACGCAGTGTCCCGTCCTCCCAGTGAAATCAAACCGGCTTTCAACACAACTCGCAGACGGGTGGCAACCACCATTATTTACACTACAGGAGCCTCTCCAAGTGCAAGAAATGCCATCACCCTGGTATCCCGTTGGACAGGGACCACAAATTCTTGATCCGATGGTATTATGACAAGTGACGAAAGGAGTAATACTGCAACCACCATTAGGCAAAGTAAGGCATTCGTCGATATCATAGCAGACATATCCATTACCTTCAAAACCCGGTGGACAATTACCGCATCGAAATGAACCAGGAAGATTTATGCATTCTACTCTGGGATTCACAGAACACCGGGTACCTTGTTCACATTCATTTACATCTGTGAGGCAAGCAATTCCTGTCCCATTCGTTTTCCAGCCTTGATCGCATATGCACTTGATGCCATCTCCAGAGGTTGTAGTTAAACAAATACCATGTCCACACATTTCGAAATCGCCGCCAGTGCAATCTTTAGCTTTCCTCGTACAATGCAGACCAAACCATCCTGTTTTGCAAAGACAATCATAAGATCCTGGTTTATTAATACAAGTTGCACCATTTTGGCAGCCCAAGTCTGTACCGGCGAAGTTGCGGCATTCATTCACGTCGTCTTCACATTTTGGTCCCTCCCAATTTGGTGGACAAAGACAATGGTATCCTGTTACTAAGTTTAAGCAAGTTCCGCCGTGTCTACATGGATTTGACTCACAATTATTAACTTTTCTACTCATTTGTGTCCTGAGTATGGAAACTCTATTGTTTAATCGGTTAATTTTTCTTGAAAGTACCGTTATATTGATTAGAAAGTCGCTTGGATATTGAGTATTTTGGTTTTCTAATCTCTGCAATCGCTCAGATATGCTATTTACATCTTGAAGATCACTCTCGAAGTCACTGCCGGAAGGCGGTTGATAGCTTTGAGATGAAGTAGAATTAATATTAAGTATATTTAAGCCACCTAAGTATACTGATGACTTAGGACCATTGCGACGTAAATATATGTTTTTGTTGAACGCTGGTTCTATAATGAGGTCACCATTGGATGTTTTTATTTTAGGTCTTTCTTGTTGAACTTCACACTTAATAAGCACATTGCAAAAAGTTATTATACACATAAACTGTATCGTCGTCCACAACATGGTGGGAACGCGGATCACTCCCAACTGTCTCCGGAGACTGTTGCCTCGGAATACTGAAAATATTAGTAAATTTAACAAAGGGGGCGTCATTAGTACTAAACGCCCCTATCTCATGTTACAATCATATTTCATTTACCAGATGTTTTGTATTAACTTATCAGTTTTATAATTACTCATACTCTAAGGACTGGTACATACATGACAGTAACTGGCATACATGCAAGTCGGTAACTGGCATACAAGTAACAAGCACGATATTTGATTCTGTGACAGCTACCACTACGAGCATGTATTTAGAAGTAGAGATCAAGGGTTATATGAAGCTTGACTTTGACTCATCTCTTACGGTCTCATGAACTGACATGCATGCTACACATTTCCTAGCATGTGCATATGCATTGTGCATGCATTCTATTTCTACTTGTCCATTACCGCCATGTGTAAAAGTGCCCTAATATCGCCGTATACTCGCATTTTTGTATGACAAAAAACGTACCTACCGTTAATAAGGATACTAAAACAAAATTTTTCACAAGTTCCTTAACCGAATCAAAATGAAGGGCGCGTTGTTCGTTTGTTAGGCGATTTGATATTGCAGTTGTAATATAATCGCAGTTCATTTATAGAACGATAAAGAAAAATCGGAATAAATACGCCCCTTTATCAGTTTACATTCGACAGATGTCCTAATTCCAGCTAACTTTCCTAGTAATGTTTTATTTCGAGTGTTATCTAATGCATTCGGACAACTTTGACTAAAATATCGCACTGTTTAGTCGCGCTTTGGTATCTATGAGCGTATATGGAGGTGCGCACACAACTCGATTTTTTAGTTGCGCATCTAAACAGTTGAATGGGATGTGAAGTTATTAAACTGAATTTGATTTATAACATTACCTAAAACTATACAATCCGCACTGAAGTTTGTTGCATCACAAACAACGACTAAGATTACATTTGGATTATTAAATGTACACTTGGTTTAGATTTGCTTCAAGCTAACAAGCAAGCTAACGTGTAACATGAGTGAACGAGTCACGGATTGTAAGTTAATAAATTCGTTCATTCAGTCATTCATTCTTAAAATGTATCTCCAGTCTCCAGTCTATTCTATATTCAGTTGGAATAAATAGGTCTTGCATTTTCTTCTCACCAAAATTGTTTTTAATTTCAATAACATAACAAGGTATCTTATCATAATTTTTTAAAAACTATGTCTCAACTTTGAAGTTCGAGAAGTTTCTGGAAGGACAATCTTTAATGTAATTTAAAAACGAATATGCAAGGAAGTATATTTTAAACATTCGTAAAGCTTAGGTATGTTAGAAGCGAGATCTTTATTATTATCAGCATTGAAGCCAAGTCGAGACAACAGCCATAGTAGTTTTCTGGGCAAGTTGCCCAGAGGCGGAGATTTAATGCATGACAAGCGTTTTATTTATTGCATATTTAAAGGAATATATTATTGGGGATGTCACCTTACCGCATTATATCAAACATTGTAAGACTTGTTTGCGTTTTTCTTTTAATAATAAAGATAGCTTTTATTTTCCCTTCACACAGTTTACAATTAACAATATTTTTTTAATAAATTACAACTAAAAACTATTGTACATTTTTCAAATATTTACAACTAGATCTAAAGATATGTTAGTGTTGTTAGTTGATTCACTTAAATGTTTATATTTTTCTTTTAATCATTGTATTTTCAAGTAAAAGAAAAATATTACATTAATTCAAAAGGATGTTATAGTCTTTATGGCATCTAACACAATTTATCGTGCATTTTGTTAGTATGTTTTGGCAAACACCGACGGTTACGTAAACAAAAATCATTGTGAATTTCAATGTTAGTTTATTTGACAATAGGGCGTAACCTGTCGCTTATAAAAAAATATCTATCTTTATAGAGTTGTTACTTCCTGCTTTAAAGTGTGAAAACGTGTTCCAAAACAATACAATACAGCCTACGCAGATCATGTCAATGTCTTCATGCTATGAAACACATTGTCATGTAAAGTTGTTCAAGTCGATATGTAAATGTTACTTTAATTTACAATTTATCGCCCAAAGGCACTTGATTGCATCAATATAAGACTTAGCCTGTTAATAAAAAGCTTCTGGTTCTTAAATGATTCTAAAAATTGCAATAACATAAAGATGTTATTCTCCTTCAAAAACATGTAGTGTACATGTTGTGTAGATAAATAAATAAATGTAGTGTAATATATAAATAAAGTACACTACAAACATATTAGCAATTTTTAGTAACCGTATATTGCTAAAATAATTTTATTTAAATTACTCTTCAATAAACAATTTTAACAAGTACGATTACTCTACGATGATTCAAAGGTTTACTATAATGGAGCAAAAGTAATTACATTTACTAAGCATTAGTTCGTATGGCATAATAGCTGAGAGGAACGGACGGCAAAGGGATCGAGTATTCTAAGTGGACAGGGGATTAAGTCGACGTGTTTCTCTAACAACGGACCTCTTTGCTCTTAATTGGTAAGACGACTACCGACTACCGACACACTCGATAAAGTTCTCCATCTTATTGCTAATATAATTCATCAGGAGCTACAATTTATAATACCATTCTAATTGGTATTTTTAAATTCTATGTTGATATAACGAAAAAACTTTTACTCTCGTATGTTTAAATAATTTATTTTAAGGTTAAGTCTCCTTACGGTGTTAATATTAATGCAAATAAATAAATAAAAATGGGAAGAATCACCACAAATTTAATAAAAATATTTCCTTTGGTTCTTGGCTTTAATTTTAGTATCATTCGCTTAGATATTCGAGTTAGCTATCCTTTTAATTAACCTACATTAAATTCTTACGTTTCTGAAGTGAAATACGACTGTGAAATAAGAGTGTAAGAGCTCGCTTTTATTGTTTGACTACTTAATTTCATATAATTAAGGTGAAAATTGTCTTCAATAAAATACGTCACGTTTTAAATTGTTAAACTTAATGAGTTTTATAATTTCAAAGCTAAGAAAACGTTTAACAGTTTAGACATGGTGTAAAATAACCTCTAATATATTTGCATCAAGAAATATATCGTCATCATTCTCTGAGACACTAAAGCCGTGTGTGAGCCTTGGTCTGGTCCAGATTTTTTCCTTTCGCAAAAAATCAAAAATTAATTTTAAATTCAAAGAATAAATACTTATATAATATTAATTACTTTTAATTAAAGATACTTCTACGGTAGATGAAAAGGATTTCAGAGTAAAGCTAGAAAAGTGTAATAAAGGTACGCCTTTATTGCACGTTCTTTGATTTAAATGTTGAAATAAAACACAGTTAGACATTTATAAAGATTGGTGGTGGTCCGTTGCTGGAATTTAAATAAACTGTCTAGGGTTCATTGCTGTCTGTACAATGTATTTTAAGACCGTTTATTTGCATTAAAGCCTCTGAAATAAATAATTTTTATGTTATTAGAATCTAAAAAAAATCTTTCTTTATCCAAATTTGTGTCAAAAAAAATAACTGAAAAACGATGATTTATCAATGAATTTTAGAGAATTGATTCATATATTAGTAGCTTTCGCCCGTGACTCCGTCCTCGTTGAATTAAAAAAAAAAAACAAAAAAACAAAAGTGAGTACCCTATGTGTTCTTCCAGAAAATCCTCTAAATCTATACCAAATTTCATAGAAATCCATTCAGCTATTTAGGCTACAAACTCTAATAAACATCCATCCATCCATCCCACCTTTCTCATTTATAACATTTGTATGAAGTATAATGTGCTTTACGTCTTGGCAATATGTTTTTTTTTGTAGCAATGAATTTCCACAGTTGAAAGATCTGTGCATAGTCAATGTTTATACACATGTCGTTCGATAGTGTAAACCTATTTGAAAACATTCGTTGAGTTTAATTAAACAAAAGCGAGATACATAACGAAGGTCTCATATTCTCACGTATAGAGGCCTCATTTTGATTGTCACACGTATTAAATAAATGAGTACTAATTTCGAAGGAGCTTTTAGACGACAACGTTTAAACGAATAATTTAAACGAGAATGAAGCTAGATTTGAGAAACTTTTGTATTAAAACCATGCAGACATATTATTTAAAAACTTTGTCAATTTTGTACAGTTGTTTTTGTTCTTTTACGCAAGAAACATTTTAAGGTCTCTTAACTATTTATATGAAATTTCACTCGACGAAAATGCTTTACAAATTTAATTTAAGTTCATAGTTCATATTAAATTTTAAAACGTTATTAAAATGTAAATGAACCATAAAGAACGTTTTTATTATGTTAGCTTTTACGATATACCATTTACTTAGAGTGCAGTTAGAAAAAAGTTAAATATTAAAAAAAAAACCCTTATTAGTTATGAATAAATGTAAATGAGCAAAGTTTAAAATGAAATTAGCGAACGACTCCTACAAATATTATCATTATATTAACTGCAATAAAAACCAGAATTTTAGATACTCCAGGACGTAATCATCTTTACACAATCCATAAATTTTTGGGCCTCTACGTTTGAAAGCACAGGATAGGGTCATAGGACAATTTAGAATTATTAATTATTAGCTGTTGCCCCCGTTATCTTCCCGAAATTTGGGTTTTTTCTTTTTATTTTATACTCTCCACTCCAATTTTATTACATGTATAGCTGTTCCCATGCGGCTTCATCCGCATGAAATTATGAAAATTTTATTTTTATCAATTTGTTTTCCTCGTACAATTTATTATCAATTGCAAATGTCTAAATGACATGACATGACATACCTTAGCAATTTTTTTTCTTGATGTTGGCTGCTGCCACTTGACGCGCTGACTTATGGTCTCTTTCCCACATTAGGGTTGTTATCCAAAATATTTACCCCTACGTTTAATGGCGTGAAAATATATAGCCTAAAGCGTGACGTAAGTGTACGGCTTTTTATTACAAAAATAGTTATTCAAAAATATGCTGTAATTGCTGACATCTTAGGCAACAAAGAAGTGTGTGTTTACGCTTTATTATAATAGTATAGATAGA